AAAGTGATGTCCGTCAGTTTCAAAAAAAAAAAACACATTGTATTGTGTTTCATAAAGTTCAATGTTCGAATTAGGCCATACGGCCCATACAAGAACTGTTTACATTATTTGGGAGATTCTTAATTCAGCTAATTTACAATTTTTTCGAAAATCGGATGGGAAATTATAAGATGTGGTAAGGATTAAGTGATCTCCTCTCCATTCCCGCTATAAAGGCCCTGACTTTCCCGCCACCTCTCGAAACGCATAACCCCTTGATTTCCCAAGAAAATCTCTAATTTCCCATCAGATTGTTTCTCATACTTCATATACCCTAAACTTTTCCCGGAGATTTCCTTTTCCTCATTGAAATTAGGGTTTCCGATCTGATGTTGGAGTCAGAATTCCAACTCTTCTCCGTTTGTGGAACTTGTTTAGGGTTTTCAAAAATGTCGACTACATGCATTATGCTGGAGGCACCACACGCTGATTCAAGCTCTGCTATCTCGCGGTCCGCTCAAGGAGGATGAGTTCCATTATATCTTCTCTAACGTTACTGGGAAACTCCAGGTCTTGTTTTACTTTGTTTCAATTTTTTTCTTTTTTTCTTTTTGTTTATTTTCCAAGGCATTCGAAATTTAACATAAACTAGATGCTTATAAGTTATGTCTGTATTAATTGTCAGAAGAAAAAGAAGAAGGCTACAAGTGGATACACAAGTTTGGCTATAAATAGCTGACTTAAGAGTGAGTCAGGGATATATAGAAACTAGAGAGTGTTGAGTGTGTCTTTTATTACCTGTATGATTTTTCCTCTTGAGAATAGTCCTCGTGAATCTCAATGGCAAAAACCTCATAATGAAGGTTAAATGTTAAAATAAATAAATAAATAAATAAAATAAATAGGAAGAGGATTCTTCGTGTTTGTCAAATAATGATAATTCGGGGAATGTTTACCAGTATTTACTTTTCTAAAAAATAACGGGAGGATTCTTCGTATTTGCCAAATAATGGTAATTCGGATAATGTCTACCACTATTTATTTTTCTAATAAGAGGTAGTTATAGAGATTTTACAATAATATCTCTCCTAAATAACCACATGATTTAGAGCCCGTTTGGGATTGCTGTTAGAATGTTGAAACCAGTTTTAGTAATAGAACTGTAATAAAACTAATGTCAATAAAACGCGTTATGCGTCTTTGTATAAAACACATTTTATACTTGAAGCACATTTTATACTTGAAGCAATTTTAAATTTATTTGTTAATAATGTTTCATAAAGCACTTTTATTACTAATTTTATTATATTACCCCTACATTAATAAACATGTTTTAATTTTTTAATATTAAATATTATAAAATTCCACTGAGTTCAATAATTTATGAAGATCAACTTGTATTGGTTTTTTTTTATTTAAAATATCACATATTTGTTTATGATATACTATTTTTATTTAGTACTAAAATATAAATAAGTTAAACATAATTTAATGATTATTAATTTGTATTTGATTTAGGATTTTCAAGTAATACAGTAAAATAAGCAAACTCGTTCATATGTTATCTAAAAATGAAATTTAATAATATAATGTTTTGCAAAGTTCTAGAGAAACGAGGATATTCGTTTGCTAGACAAAATTGTATTTATAAAAAATAGAAAAGGATTACATTGTCTAAAAAAAATTAGTTATCTAAAATGATAAACCTCTGTAGGGACCGCAATTTTAAAAGTTACAGTTCTTAACTTCACTTAAATGCGCTTTTTTGTTGGAGTGCACACGGTCTTGTTTGTTCTGGTTTCAAGGATATTTGGAACCAAACCGCTCCTTACGGTTCCAGAAAATCTGAAACCGAACCAGAACATTTGAATCATGGAACCGAACCAGACCAAACAGTGAAAAAATGGTTTGGTTCCATTCGGTTCCACGGTTCTAGTTGAATTTTTTTTCCCTTAAAATTGTATATACAACAAAAATAAAACTAAAAGCATTTACATTCCTGAATCCAAGACTAAAAATAGAGAGGGGAAAGTGGGTGAAATATGCCCAAAAACTAAACCCTAGAAATTAAAATAAGGTTAAATCCTATTGAAACTGAAAATGATGACAAATCCATAGTTGAAAACTAAGAAACTTGATTCGTTATCATTGTTAGTTGTGCTTGAGGCGCAAACACACCGTGAGACTCAGAGATCTATGAACTGAAAGTGACAGAGAAGGGGAGAGAATGTAAGAAAGGATGTCACCGACGATAACGATAAAAGATCGATGGCGATGACCGAACTTTGAAGGTTGCGTGGGAGAGATTGACAACAACTAGATCCCGCGATGATGAGAACTAAGAAGTGAATAATGCAGTGTGAGCAAAGAAAAAAAATAAGAGAGTGGAGGAATGTTGGCGCGATCCAAAAATCAAAATATTGGGAGAAACAAAAGCAAATAAAAAAAATTAGATAGTGATGAATGTTGGCTCACGTTTGATCATTGTGCCTAAATCCCTTGCAAAGTTAAGAATAGTATATAGGTATAGCTATATATATATATAACGGTTCGGTATGAGCTCGTCCGGTCCTATAGGACCCTAATCCAGGACCGAACAAAAAATTCACGGTTCCATTATTTTATAATAGTGACCAAACCAAACTGCTACGGAACCAGGCCGGATCATCTAATTCGGTGCAGTCCGGTTTGGTTTTTCGGGTTGACAGCTTTTTTGCATACCTCTATTTTTTTTACCTAACCTCTACCACTTATAAGCGCTTTATTTTTTCACCAAACATATTCAACTGCAATTATTTCAAATGAAAGTGTTTTTTAGTGGTAGAGAAGCAACCACAAACATCCACTGAATACCATATTTTCCTTCATCTTTTCAAGTTCTAATTGGACTGGTGGAGTATTTTATTTATTTAAGAAAAGTAGACTATTTATTTATATGGATCCGTGGTGGTAGATTCTCTTCCCTTGAGAATTTTTCTCCATATATATAACTTATTAAATTTATTTAGTAGTAATTTTATCTGATTAATTAGTGACAAAAATAAAAAATAAATTTAAAATCTTCGTTTGAATCTCATAACGAAATCTCGATTGATTGTGTGATTTGACCTGTTTATCACTGTACAATTCTAGTTAAGTGTTTGCAGGTTTTGTTTCTTTGTACAAAGTGTAAAAGCAACGACAAATATTCAAAATACACCGTTCGTCAATTCGCATGAGCAGGAGCTGGAGCAGGGTGACCATATTGATTCCAGCATGTTTCCCTAGTGTGGCGTGTACGCTCACAGTGATCACACCTCAACTTGCTCATCATCTTGCTTCCCTCCTTTTGGAGGATTGTTAGTTCCATTATTGTGTAGCAAGAGCAGATCTCTCAAACAATGGTACTTTTGGCTCAGACATAGCCTTCATTCTACTCTCCTCAGCCTGGATATACGAAAACACATCTCTAACAGAGGTAAGGGTTGGATACATGCCTAACACTTTTACCCTGGCATGCTTATATCTCGAATGCAGACCACCCAAGAACTTATAGATTATATTCCTTTCTACCATTGCACGGAATGCTTTAACATCAGCTAAACACACATGTATATAGTCTTGGTAGTGATCTAACTCTTCCTATTTCCCACATAGAGTGTGGTAATATGTAGCAAGAGTTTAGTCTTCCTATTTGAATCTTGAAATCTATTGCTAGAATTCATATAGTTCTGCAAAATTTCCAACCGAGGAATACGTCTCTTCCACAGCCTTCCATAGTTCTTTAGCTGTTTTCACAAACATAAATGCTTTGTTGATTTGTTGTTACATTGACTACAACAACCACGTCATAACTAATGCCTTATTTGCACTCAACTCTTTGAATTCAGGATCACTTTTCGAGGGATACATGACAACCCCTTCAATATGGTCGATCATCATATGACTAGTGATATGCATACGAAAAGATTGAGCCAACTCCATACAGTTCGTCTCATCCAACCTAGTAATCGTAATACAAAGGCCTGGATGGTGATCACTACTACCTCCCAACACTGGAGTCAAACTAGGAGAAGACCCAACTTCTCTTGAAGTCACCTCTTAGTCATACATTTTATCAAACAGTTTTTGGGTATACAATCCTAATAAACAAAAACAAAAAAACAGCAACAAAATATGTAGAGAACCACTTCTCTAACACTAACAACTGCAACTAAAAATATTAGTGGCTTCAGAGATACCACACAGTCACCACACAAACCCTAGAAAGTAACAAAGTAGACTATACAAGAATTGCGAACGACAAAGAAAAATTCGTTGCGCCACACGAACGATGAAGAAAAATCTCAAACTCTCTCATTGGAGTGATAATGCCAAAGTTAGCTCTCTTATTAGGGCAATACCAGTAGAGAATTCCCAGAGTCTTTCATGTTATAACCCAAACTGTGGGAACAATCGGGTTACTTCCTCTTATTAGTAACAACTCCTACGATAAAATATAACGGATCCTCTCCCCCACTGGTTCATCTAAACTTAGGAGAACATACAATGCTCTCTATGCAACCGGGATGATGAAAATCATGATCATCTTTTCTTCAATTGCCTTAATTCCAATAGAGTGTGGCAATTTTTTCAGCACAAATGTGGAATTTATACTGGTGAACAGGGGATATTGGCCATTGCGAATTGGATAGCAAACCTATGGTGCTCGACGTCCTAGTCCCCTAAGGGGATGGTTTATAAAATATGTTTTGCAAAAGCTTGTACTGTGTATTTCCTGTGGAGAGAGAGGAACAACTTAGGAGTACATACAATGCTCTTCTTCCCCCTACACGTTCCGTTATGAATTGAGAAAGATAGACATAGACGTTACGTTATGAATTGAGAAAGATAAAGCAGTGGCATCCTAATCCATTGGGGCTTCACAATCTTCATATGAATATGTATAAATTATAAAATCTCTCTCTCTCTATATATATATATATATGCGTGTATGTATTATATTCTTCAAACTTTTCCAACATAGCCGAGCAAGAAAAAAATTATATGCAAGAAACCTAGTAAATTTATATTCGAAATTAGAAAGGACATTTACATCCAAGCGTAAATAGCTAAAAGACTTTTCCAGCAACTTATATATGTATGTATACATGAAATCAAGAAGTAAAAGACACGTCTATATAACCATTACTGGTCATTCCATCTGCTCAACCATACAAAAAGACCCATGCAGAGTGATAGTAGTGTTGTCTTCAGGTCCAAATTTGCACCTTGTTCGGGATAATTGAAGTGAATTAACCAGAGCCTTTCCAAAGAGGCTACATAAACTGCAAATTGAAGAGCCAAGAAAACACAGAGTCATGCGAGTGAATTATACATCCCATATCATGGTAAATATCATACTCTCAAAATAAAAATAAAATAAAATACAGTTAATAGATGTAATCATAAACTCACAGGAGCATAATAGAAATAACTTATTTTTTTCCATTAAGAGCACACTAAGATTATTTAGTCCTATGACATTAGGTAATTTGGTAAACCCTCAAACCTCCAAACCCCCACCCCTCAAAAAATAATATAAGAAGAAAAAAGGCAATACAATCACAAAGAAACATTTTTCTCGCCACGAACTTCTAAAATTCAACTTGACACTCCATTTCTCAGGATCCATGCATTGTTAAAAAGTTTAGATAGTCTTGGTCAAAATGCTACAATTATTTTCAAAGAAATGCTTAAAACTAGTGTGAATGGGTTGCTAGAAATATCATTTTAGGTGAATCACTTAAATGCACCCTGGCACTTATCAGACTGACTCCTACCATGTATTGTTGGAAAGTTCTCGTCTCTTGATTCACGTCACACAACCTCGGTCAATGTGATCAGCTCTAGGGTTCTATTCCAAGTCACGTTACTCACAAAATTACAGAAGGGATGGGTTTCTCTCAAGCTTTGAGTGCAAATTAACTGATTGAGAACAAATTCGCCTGCAATTCGCAGATCCACATGGAAGGAATTGTTCCATCAATTTCAAGCATGCATAGGGGTGTTCAGATCAAGGTACTTAATACTGAACTACTCTTTCGTAAGACCATTGCTCATAATTTTTTACTAACCGCGTTATTTTTTATTACATTAAATTAATAATAAATAATTACAATAATATATTTATATGTACTCCTTGGATAGGACTTACTGACGAAAATTGGATAAAAAAATAATATGTAATACGTTAATATTATTGTATATTAGGAAGAGTAAGTACAAATATATACGCAGTGTACTCTAGAGAGGCTCTCAAAACTTTTTAAACATTGGCGCTCTCATCTGCTCCTGCTTCTGAAGCAGTTTTGACTCTTGATTAGAGACGGGAGTGGGGAAGCAGACGCTGTTATACTTTATAGGATGCCAGATAGAATAGGGGGGCACCCTGACGCAAAGGGGCTACGTAGGAGGGGGGGGTTAACGGGTAAATGTCACAGATGGTGAATCAATTTCTTCGTGAGTAGGAAGATTTTCAATTCAAAAGGATGAAATTTGAATAGCACCTCCACTCAGATAGTTGGTAAGACCGGAACGCAAGGCTTTGACAGCGGAGTCACACAAGGTCACTAACTTAGACCTAAAGGGTAGTGAATAGGTTTTGTAAAACAAATTAACTGTTTTAACTAATTTCTAATTTTTTTTATAAGTATTTTAAATAATTTTTAAATTAAAACAGAATTAACTGAAATTCAATCTTAAAGATCTAGAATCCGGTAAAAACTTTAAGCATTCCAAAGCATTTAAAGCAATAAACAGTAGACACAAGATCTTTACGTGAAAATTCAAAAAAAGAAAAAAGTCGGGACCTAGTTCAAGCAAACCAAATCCAATATCAAGAAAGAAGATTTACAACCTAGGTTGACAGACTGTTCCCCAAGAATCATTATGTTACCTCCTTGGCATAAAATACTCTACAAATTTTCTCAAAAAGTCTCCACGCAGCTCGTCTGCTCAAACCAGAGCTTTGCTCCCCACGAACCTACTTCTCTAGGGAAATCTGTCTCAACCACTCAGGTGTCAATCTGGTTGTGGATTGTACAGTAGCGATGAAATGATATTTTGAGTATGCAACAATTGATGTCACACTCACCAACTCATGCAGATGAAGAATGTAAAACAAAATGAGACGCACTCAAAACTCACAAAATCTGCTCTCAATATGGTGTTCTACGTGTATGAGAGATCTCTTTAAGTCTGCCCTAGTATCATGTATTTATAGACAGCAAAGTAGTAGAGACGGGTTAGGTTTTTGCAAAGTTTAAAACCAAGTTGGAAACTATTGTTTCGAACAGCTCGATCAATCGAGATTGACATATTGATGTCAATCGATCAACATCTCTCTAGAAGGCTTCAATCGATACCTCAATCCATCGAATTCTCCGGCAGGTTTTAACTTAAAACATGTTCATTAAGGAAGTTTCCAAAATCTTTTCCATGCAAGTTTATAGCAATTTAGGGAATCTAATTAATTCAATTAACGTAAACACCAAAACCCTAGATATGCAATTCACGAACCCTAACTGGTGAGTGCATCAGTGTGTCACTTTACCTTTACACCCTTGTAGACAAAGATTACCAATATACCCTTGAATACAACACGAATCTCATATTTGACCTAGGGAGCTAACTAACACAAACTAACTTTTGAACAGTTTCAAAACTAAATTAAAACAAAATACAGACTCAGCTTTGTTCTACAAAATTTGTCATCCTAAGTCCTAAAGGTTATAAAGGCGCATGAAGAACAGCTTGAAGGACATGATTTATGGAGAATATACAGATTAAGAGAAACATTTTTTTCTCAAGAACTCACAAACTTGTAAAATCAAGCAAGCAACTCTGTTCTACACTCGGCTCAACAAAATGCTGAGGACTCAATGGATCTTTGGCATAATGACATACTTTGCTTTAAACCAAAAAACCATATAGCTAAAAGAAACATATGCAAAGAAATGATAATGGAGACCACATGCAGAACCTGTACATTAAAACAATTAAATCAATCCAAGATTCTTCTTCTAGTCATTATATGATATTCAATTCAGAAGATTTCAGTCGTTTCACAATTCTAAACCCCAACTATTGTATTAAACTTTTTTGCTAATTATGGTAAGTGCCTGTGATTTTAATCGAAGATTTGAAACTCGATCATAATATTCAACTTCTAAAAAGTGATATAAGAATACTATTAGGGCCCGATTGTTTATCTCTTGACTTTCAATGATATCATTCATAATCTAGTAAGCATTTTAGTGTAAAACTTCCATCATCTTGAATGGAACCATAAATAAATAAAATGAACTTCACAATATCTTTTTCGCATAAGTTCATTTTTGAGGTGGCTACTATCTTCTTATTAGATGAATCCATTCAAGACGCTAAGTTCCTACATTGGAGTACTATGTAAAATTGTGAACGAATCCATTCGATTCAAGCAGACATATAAAAACTCTTAGAAATTTAAGATAATTGAATATCAGCTTCACAACAACAACAACAACAACAACAAACAAACAAACAAACAAACAAACAAAAAAGAAAAAAGAAAAAAGTGTTTACAAAAAATATCTAAAACTATATAGCAATCTCCATTGGGGAGTCCTAGGAGCATGGGAAAGAGGATTTGTGAGTCTATAAAAAACTACAACAATATATGCTATCACAAATTGACTCTGATTCAGTAAAATTTGTGTCTTGTTCACGTCCCTAGGTTTAAACCAGGCAACAATTTTTTTTTTTTGCTGATAAGTTTAAACCATGCAGTTGATATAGATGTTATTTCATAAAATTCTTTCAATTTCTACCCAAGATTTACAACTTGGATCTCTTTGAAATTTCAACTCTCATATAAAAATAAAAAATTAATACAAGTATCAAGCACCAGAAGGTCACGAAAAAAAACATACCAAAAATACTGTATAGTCCCCAAAAGGAGTCATCAATCAAAGTGTCACCATCTTCATCAACCGTAGCATCACTCTCCCTTTGCACCAACGGGCTTGAAACCAAGTCCTCCCTATTTCCAGCCGCTGCCAAACCACTCCCAATCTGCCCGTTACGCGAGGAGGCTGACGAAGAAGACGATGACCGTATCCTTGCCTGAACAAACCCATTCCTTAACATTGCATCATGAAAACTGCTCTCCTGATACTCACCCTACCCCTCCACATGAACATCCCCCGATCTCAAGTCATACCAAGGATTTTGCTCCGCCGGTAACTTGTACCGACACAAGGGACACGAATTGCTCCTACTAAGCCACGGAACGATACAATCTGGATGAAAAACATGCTTACACGGCAACTGATTCACCTCTGAATAAAATTCAAAGTCATCCATACAGATTGAGCATGAGCAGGATCTAGGGCAAGAATTGGATGAAGAAAGAGCGAGAAATTTGAGGATTGGTAGCGAATCGATGAATGATTTGGAGGTAGGGGATGACCGGTTGCTTTGGTATTCGTCGTGTTGATTGGTGATGCGATCGACGATGGAGTTCAAGTCGTGTTCGTCGTCGGAGTCGATGTAGTCGGAGGTGTGGAGTTGGTGGGTTCGGGTAGGGTTTGGAGGGTGAGAACCGTGACTTGAGATAGAAATTCGCACATGTGGACTACGGTTTCGTCCGGTAGTGGTGGAGCGGCCGTTGATGGTGATGGTGGCGCCGCCGATGGTGGTGGTGGTGACGCCGCCGTTTATGGTGGTGGTGGTGGTGGTGGTGGTGGTGGTGGTGGTGCCGCCGGTGATAGTAGTGGTGGTGGTGATGGTGGTGCCGCCTGTCGACATGTTCTGTGCCGCGAGCTTTGAAAATGTGTGTATGTGTGTGTGTGAGAGAGAGAGAGAGTAAAAAAAGTCTAATATTAAATCTAAACGGACTCGTTTTCGGTGATAACCACTTATATGGTTGTAGAGTTGCGTCAAGCATACGTTCCAAAGAAACAACAAATTGGAACAATTTTAGTAAAGTTCTAATAATAAATATAAGGGTTAACTTCACTTACACCCTTTGAGGTATGTATTAATTTTCAGGAGACCCCCCACGTTTGTAAAAATTCAATCAGATTCCTTGTCAGACATTGTCGGCTGACAAAAACAAATAAATGAATGTAATAACTAATTTACCCTTTTGTCTTTTTCCTATATACACTTGACCAAACAAAATATTTTATAACTCCTACCAAGGTTAGCTTTATCTTATGAACCAAACAGTCCGTCAATGCTAATCTTCACTCGGTCGTCGTATCTCAATAGCAAATTTAGGGTTACAAAATTGGGGTCTCTTCTTTCTTTCTTATGGTATACACTAGTGAATGAGAACTCCCATTGTGTATCTATCTATCTATCTATCTACCTTGAGTCGATGGAATAATAAATAAGGGGAAAATAGAAAAAAATATTGGTTTCAAGCGAAGTAGAGTAGCAGCTGATTTCACCAGTAAGGCATTTCGCTGTTTTTTTTTTCCTTTTCTCTTCTCTCTTCTCCTTTTCTTTTTCTTCTTCTCTAGGATCGGCAGATCATTTTTTTTTTAGAAAGAAGGGAGAGAAACAAATTTATCGACAAAAAACAAATGAAATCTTGGTGCTTCAGGGCTCTGATATAGAGCAATTGAAATCTTTTTCTCATCGGGGGTGTAAGGCAAGCGCTCCACTCTAATAGATCTCATCTGGATTACAAAACAATTTTCCAAAATCCAAATGCTTAAGTGAATCACTTAGCTTCCTGTTAACCAAATCAGTCACAGATGATATAAAAGAACCCTTCCACAATGACGCCTTGTGAACACATGAGATATAAGAAGCTTTGTGGACCAAATGAACACATGAGATAGAAAATGTCGTGACCCTGGATTTTTCAACCCAGTGTGTCCTGTGATGACCAGAACTGGATCCAGAATGCGGAAGCAAAAGATGAAACAACAGTCTCTAGAGATACAACACGTCTCTAAGACACTAATGTGACCCTCAACGAGGTCACGGAATTCAAAAGAAACAAATGCGGAAGCGGCGTTTCAAAAACGGATAAGAATGAACCTAGGGGCAAATTGATCATTTCCAACATAAAAGTGGGTGCCACAGAGCACACCATTGGAAAGACAACAAAAAATTAATCAAATTCAAAAAAAAGTTCACTTGATTTGGAGTCCGGATGAAGAAGATATGACTAATGGAAGAAGAATGGGCAAAAAGGTCAAAAGGAGCCAACCCTCGAACATCTAACCGGTTAGAAGGCCAAAAATCATGACCACAACACTGCCCAAGCACATCTAACCATTTAGATGAACCCATCTAATTGGTTAGATAAATAAAAAAATAAAAAATAAAAATAAATAAATAAAAAAAAATCAGAAGGTTCAGCAAAGAAAACTTGGCAGCAAGGGTTTTTTGTCAAAAAATAGATTTTTGAGGGCCAAGATGACATTTTCTGGAAAAACACAAAGAAGAAACCCCCCTCAAAATTGAGTTTTCTATGTAACTCTTGAGAAATTCAAAAAAAAAAAATCAATGTAAAATGTCCAAAATTCCCCTCCATGAAATCAGGTCATGAAGGTTCAAAAAGCTGCTAAATTGAAAAACAGAAAGCTGAATTTCGTGAATGATTTCCGGTACCAAGAAGACATTTTCTGGAAAAACACTAAGAAGAAACCCCCCTAAAATCATATTTTCTATTCAACCATATTGAATGAAGAAAATAAAACCACTGTGACAAGTCAAGAATGCCCCTAGATCAAATTATGCAATAAAAACGCAAAATGAGTCCATAGGAGGCTCAAATCACCAAGAATGGGATTTTGCCCGGAAACGACCATACACGCAAACTTAACTTACCTATTTGAACGCGCTGCAATGGTCCATGGTTTAAAAATACCACCGATGCAAAATCCGACCCCCCAACGGCTAAAAAGGCAAAAATGAACTAGATATGGGAAATTTGAAACTGAAATTAACAAATTATTTCAAATTACCATTTGGCCCTTGGCCACACTTCATACATGATTAATGAGACGCTATGAAAGAATAAAAATGGAATTCTCACACCCGATGCAAGCATAGTGAAGCAATAACTCAATATTTTTCAATATTCTCATAGTATTCCATGAAGTTAAAAGTTACATAGGATACGATTTACATGTCATTGGCCTTTGGCCTCATCTCATACAAGTCAAATACATTGCATAGAGTGTACTTATGTACACATTACATTAATGGAATCAAATATACACATTTTGTCAAACAAGGCTATAAGTGGTGTTTCAAGCCAACCTTTACAAGAATTAAAACCTTCAGATCTACAATCATCCAAGCAATGTTGAACATCACAAACCAAGTCTTCGTACCTGAAACAACCCCCCAGTAACTTCGGGGTGAGTAAACAAGTTTACTCGTAGAGAATGAGCATGCATCGACTCGATTTCTTTAGAGATTTTTAGACTAACATGAAACAGTTCAAAAGAATCATGCCACCTAATGTCTATGTCAAGATGAGACTCAGGGATCATCCTAAGCTACTCATGCAATTGAAATGAACTACGGCATACAAGTATACATGCTCAAGTATACTAAACAATATCAAAACATGTTATACGACATTCAAGCATACATTTCAAATATACTAAACCATATTAAAACAAATTATGCAACATCTAAGCATATCTACTCAAGTATACATTTAATATGGAAAACTCGTAAATCAAGTACACAAACACAAGTATACTAAGCCAAACAAGATATGCATAAGACAAGTATACATGGCACAAGTATATTAAATGCAATCTAAACTCATGGAGCAAGTATACAAGTTCAAGTATACTAATTAGGATTCAAATATCCAAGCAAGCATTAATTCTCAAACTACAAGTAATCCATGATTAACAATTTGAAATTAAATGCGAAAACAAATAGTGAAAAGACTAGGACATTCGGTCGCTAGACCAAGCAAGTATTTTCGGATAATTACGACCCACAAGGTACCACCTAGTGCACACTTATGACTTAGAAAACACTTGTCTTCATACTAGAGCCAAACTCTAGCCATCATATAATTTTTGTCCTCACAAGCTTTCCAAAATTAATAAGTTCAAAACTTATACAAAATCAAATGCAAGTTACCACATTCCATGCGCAAGCAAGGTTGAATCCACACAAACCATGTCCTAGAATTCAAGTCTAAATAGCATATGACATGTCATGTCCTTAATATGCAATTTATACACAAAGCAAGAATATTTTACAACAATTGAGCTACATTACCATCCTAAGCCACAAATACTAAATAAGCTTCAATTTAGTAACTAGTTTCCAAGGTAAACAATTGTAATATTCTAACAAGCTATATACCTACCCAAGATATATTTAAACAAGCTATGCAAGACAATGATATTCTATATCATGTTAAGTCCAATTACCATTTTAAGAGGCCACAAGTACTAATTATACATCAAGTTAGTAGCATGCTCACAAGGTAATTAGAATACTACATTTTAAGAGATTTTCAACCTAATCAAGGAAAGTCTCTAGATTTCAAATCTATCCCAAATAACCTCAAATTAATATATGTTAAACAACATAGCATGCTCATTACATATATCAAATCAAAAGAGCAAAATAAGCAAGACATCATAATATAGAATTTAATTAATTTAGATTAATTAAATTTCTAATTTTTCAAAAGTTGTTCAAATGATCCCAAATAAATATATAACAAGGACTATATCATGGCCATGCCATATATCAAGTCAAAAATGGAAAACAAATAAGGTACAATTAAATAGAATTTAAATCAAATTAAATTAATTTAAATCTCTAGATTTGAAAACTCAATCAAATGACTCCAATTAATTATATAACAATGATCAAGTGAAGGCCATGCCACATACCAAGTCAAAAGTGAATTATATGCAAGTTACAACAATCATTAATTTCTCAAATTAACATTAAAACATGCATATCACTTGTATTCCATTACAAAAGCAATCAAAATGACTTGAAAAATAAACTATAACACCCCCTACCTCAATTCGAGATGAAAATCTCAAAAGCCACCAAAATGAAACCGCTCCGAATCCGACGAAACTCCTAAGTTTTGTCGAGTACAACACGATCTACGTGAACCCCCAAGAAGCCCCATCAAAATCACAACTTGGCTTCAAACCTGAACTCAAGAAATGGCCAAAACGAGATTCCAATTGGTGGAATCGAAGGCCTCGCCAAGGCGAACATAAAACACTAAGGCACGACAATATTTCGCTCGAGGGAAGTGGCCGGAAAAATAAGAAGAAGGGTGGCAGCCCCTTGGCAACCATGGCTGCCAACCAAGAGAGAGGAGAGAGAGAAGAAAATCTGAATTTTTCTCTTTAAGTCCCCTATTTATAGGGGAAAAAAAAAACCATAAAAGTGTCCCGAAAGAGTCCCGCCAAGTCCGGAAAAGTGGAATTTGAGCAGACGCGCTTAAACAGTAAAACTCTGTGAACAAAAAAGATTCAAAATGAGAAAATATAAATAACAGAAGAAACGGCGTCGAAAACTGAGTCCCGAGCAGAGAGATATGTCCCGAACAAGTTCGGCGGCAATAGAGGCCAAAAACCCTAAAACTAGAGAAAAATAACCAGAAGGGAATTCTAAGAGTACACGACTCGACGAAATGTGAAAATGAATCCCATACGAGAATCCAGGTTCAAAACAAGGCATTTTGCAATAACTTTCATTAATTGCACAATGGCCCCTCCAAAAAATGAAAACTGCACCAATGACCCAGAATGAATATATCTTCCAAAAATATTTTCTTAAAAACCCCTGAAATAAAATATCTTCAAAAGATATTTACGAAAAACACCCCAAGAAAAGAAAAAGAT